GAACTGCGCGTTGCGGGTCGTTCAACATATTCGTTTGTATTGAGCGGTGCTGATCATAGTCGTCACGTGTTTAGACAAAGGGTTGGGTGCGTCCCTGGGTAATTTGCCGTCTCGCTGCTGATGCTCTCGTCGGCGCTCTAAACTACCCGCGGTCCCCACGTCCAGATTCATGGGGTAAGGGGGAAGGAACACGGATCAAGACACTCACCCCCACCCGTCTTGCCAACACATAAATCGAGTCCAGGCCGCAGCGTGTCCAGCGGTAGTCTATGGATGGGCAGCTAATAAGAACCCAAACATACCCCATGTGCGCAACGCTGGGGCGAGGTGCGCCAGGCGTGCCAGGCGCGCCGCGCGCGCCAGGTGCGCCAGGTACCCCTCTGGCCCAAGCGTGTGTTTGGCACGCCTGGTGCTGCAGATGCATCACGTGATCCACGTGCGCAACGTGTGCCGCATGCTCCACCCGCGCCAGGTGCGCCCCGTTCGGGGCACGCGCAGAGTGTGCCAGGTGCGCTGGCGCACCTGGCAGTACACATCGGGTCACGTGTCGGTCCCCACCACGTTTGTCGAAAACCAGTGCGCAATCGCGGCGGGCTGGCCATCATAGCATCTGGTGGGCCTGCATATAGCATGCAATATGTCAGCACCCCCGCCGTTCCAGTCAACAGCCAATGCACAGTGATCGCGGGGTGCCCGCGCATTATGCAGATTTTGTCTCGAAGTGTATTTTGAATATTTGTTCAAGGGATACTGGCCCTGCGTGCAGCAGGCAATATGCGGGCACCCCCGCTGTTCCGTTCAAAAACTATGCAAGTGCTCGCCGTTCTCCCGATCATGACCCAAGATTTTGCCCCAACATTGATTTACAGGGATGGTGTGGGGGGGTGCCCGCATTGGTCCTGGTTGGCTTCCGGTCGCTGTTTATGAATAGGGAGCAGTGATGGACAAACCCACGAATGCCAAGAAGGGGAAGAAAAGCCCTTAACCATCTACGCCCTAAAAGGCTTGTGGGATATATCCTCTCCGATTGGCCCACACAGTCAAGCAGAGTATTCGCGACGATGAAAAGCAGCAGGTTGAGCAATCTATTCGATGTGCTTCGCACGCCGACGAAGGGGTGTCGGGGGATCATATGGATTCGGGGGACTGGTGCGCGCGGTGATGGAGACGCCCGCGTCGATGTAGTGTTCAAGCTGGTTGATTTCACAGGCTCGCGTAAGTCAATTTGCTGTGTCACTTGTTGCTCTCGGGAGCCTAGGCGTCCAAGCTGTGGCCGTCTCTGGGCCGATTATTTGCCCTTCAAGTGGGGCTTCCTGGATATTGCTTGAGGCATGTCCCAGGCCTCTTCGGTGCCTTTGGGTCCGTATGGGAGGCTCTGTCGCACGCCTACTCAGCAGTAAGGCCGTCTTGGAGGCCATGCTGGGGGCCATCTTGGTTGTCTTGGGGGCGGCGGGCTGCCCTTTCCGGTTTTCCGGGTGGCCTGCGGTGAGCGTTGAGACCCCACCGGGATTTTTCGGGGAAGGGCCACCAAGTGCTCGAACATCTGGAACGCCAAGCATCCCTCTCGCAAGCCAGGGGGCGGTTGATCGAAGACGCCTACGGCGAATCTTCGCCGCCCCCTGCTTGTAGGATACACGTACGTGACCAAACGTTTGGGTAAAGCCTTGTCACGCCATTGGACCATGCGTTCCCCCCCAGCCGAAGCACACACAGCGCCATGGTCTGGGCACCCAGGCGGCCCCGCGGTGGCTCACGGTTGACCCAGGACGGCTGATCATCCTATCGTCCTTGTATCACCCGTTCGCACAGTCTTGGAGATTGCACAGTGGTTTCGCTTTGGCGTCACCGATCTTGGCGTCATGCTGCTATGTCCGTTCACTCTCCTCCCCTCCCCCCCAAAAAAAATGCGTTCCCCCCCAGCCGTTGTGGAAGCCCTTCGAGGATCACGTGGGGGAGAGAGGAGGATGAGGCGAGGGAGGAAAAAAGGAGGATGTGGAGAAGGATGAGGAGACCTCGTGGGAGCTTCTGTGGTCACTCTTGGAGCCACCTGGGAGCTTCCTGGGGGCCTCTTGGTGGCCTCTTGGTGGCCGCCTTGGGTCTCTTGGAGGCCTTTGGGAGCTTCTTGGGGGCCTCTTTGGCCGTCTGAGAGCGTTCCTGGCCCGTCCGACGCCTTCGGAAGCCGTCTTGGGAGCCTTTCTGGGCAGACTTGGTGCCCTCTTGGAGCTGTCTCGGGGGCCTCCAGGGCCGTCAATCGGGTCATTTCGGAGGGCTCTTTGGCGCTCTCGCGGCCATCTTGGTGGCATCAGCGGCCATCGTGGGCCGCCAGAAAGCCGAACATGAGCAAACGTCAAGATTCTTCACACACATCCGGGCCTGCCTGAAGAACCTCTTCGATGCCTCTTGGGGGCCTCCTGGGCTGTCCTGGGCCATCTTGAGGCCATCCAAGGCCGTCTTGGTTACACCTTGGGCTGTCTTGGAGGCATCTTGCGGCCATCTTGGGCTCTCTTGCGGCCATTTTGAACGTCTTGCAGGCCATCGTGAGCGTCTTGGGCCGTCAGTGGGCCCTCTTGGGGCCGTCGTGGGGACCTCGTGGGCCATGATAGGAGCCATTTTGGAGGTCTCTGGGGTAATCTTGGGGTGGTGTTGGGGCGGTCTTGGAGACTTCTTGGGCCTTCTCGGGCCGTAGGGAGACCAAAAAGAAGCGAACAGCAGAATCCTTCAAAAACGTATGAATAATCAATCCTTTCGGGATCTTCAGGCCTTCCTGAAGGACCTCTTGGAGGCGGGGGGCCTCTTGGGGGCCTCTTGGAGGCCTCTTGGGCCGTCTGGGGCTAACGGGAAGCTAACTTAGCCCGACATGGCTACATCTTGGGCCGTGCTGGAGACATTTTGCTGTCATCTCGAGCTCTCTTAGGCTATCTTGGCCGTCTTGGAGGCCTTCTTGGGCGTCTTGGGAGCCATCTGGGACCGTCTTGGGGCCGTCGTCGGGCTTCTTGGGCCGTCATGGGGCCATCTTGGACGCATCTGCGGCGATTTTGGGGCGATCTTAGGAACCAGTCGGGCCGTCTTGGGCCATCGGAACGCCGAAAAGGCGCAAAAGCAAACAACTTTCAAAAACTTGAGGGGAAACGATGATTTAGACCTCTTCGAGTCTTCCTCTAGGTCCTCTTGGAAGCCTCGGAGGACTCTTGGAGCCGTCTTGGGCCATCTTGAAACCACCTTAGGCCGTCCTGAGTGCATCTTGGGTGGCTACATGTTTCTATGGCTTTCTTGGGGCCATCTTTGCCGTCTGGGAGGCCATCGTGTCTGTCTTGGAGACCATCTTGAGACCATCTTAAACGAAAAAGCCGATGGGAGATGCGTCGCCCGGAGCTTTCTTAGTGGCCGGCCGGAATTCTGTTGAAGAGAACGAAGTCCCCAGACGTCTAGCACGCCGTACACCCATGTGGGAAGCCACAGGGAGAGGCGGATCCAGTTGCCTTCGTCCATCCCGGCACCGTGCCAGGGCCGTGGACATGAGGCTTCTTATAGGTCTCTCGGGGTCTCGTTGAAAGCTTCTTGGGACCTCTTGGAGTTCTCTTTCGGGCGTCTTGGGGGTAATGTGGACGCCTCTTGAGGACCGCCTGGGGACCTCTTGGATGCCTCTTGGGACCGTCGCGGGGGCCTCTTGGGGGCCTGGAGGCGGTCTGGGGGGGCATCTTGGGATGGAGGGCCCTCGAAGCCCCTTCGATTTTCCCCTCTTCGGAGCCTCTTGGGCTTTGGTCGCATCTTGGGGGCCGCCTTCGACGCTCTTAAGACCGAAAAAGCGAGTATGCGAAAATCATATACAGTTCTGCGTTTGTGGAATATTTTTGCCGTCTTGGGCCAGCCATTGAGACGGCCCGAGCGGCCCCCAAGAACGCCCTGCGACGGTCGCTTGTGGCCATCTTAGGACACGTGGGAAGTAAGCCCCCCCCCCAGCCACGCTGCCAAGGCCGCGGGAGCAGTCATGCGACAAGCATCGCCAGAGAATTCAGTGAATCCGGCGGGGTCTGGGGCCCGTAGCAGCCCTCAGTCCGGAGAGCTCGAGGGGACTTGCTGGCACTGCACTCAGTGCCTCGCTGCACGGTGGCCGATCTTAGAAACGAACGGCTTGCAAGCAATCGCGCCTGCCATGAAGAGCAGTGTTATGTGCCCACCGCGCGGTCACAGGAGCATGCTGCAACCAGATACGACTTCCCCGATGAGCCGGGTGTTGCAGCAAGAGACATGCCGCACATGTCACCCGAGTCATCCGACAGTAGCAATGTGAGCGTTGGCTGCCTGGTTTAGTTGTACAATGGTAAGTGCATCGTTCTCCGTCAGTTCGTTCGAGTGCCTGGATTCTGGCATTAAACGCGTGAAAAGGACATCACATGGGATCGGATGCCATGTATTCTACCACCGATTGCAGTGCTCGTGTTGATATTGTTGATCTTCCAAATCTGTCTGCGTTCAAGTGCAGAACATAGAGCGGTACCGGTGGTACGACGTAACATTGGAAATGGATGAGGCGAGACGGACTGATACCATGCCAAAAAGCCCCCGTGGAAGACATTCGGCCGCTCGGCATGACCCGAGTGAATCTCGTCGGGATCCCTTAGCGGTTTTGCATGTGAAACTTCTCAGCAAAACATCGCGTTTGGTAAGACACGTGTTCGATCGCGTTGGTTGCAACAAGCAATTCTGCACAATTCCGACGTGAGCTCGAGGATACATCGAAGAGTGCAGCTGTTGGTTTGCCATTCCTCTCCGTCCCTGCCACTACCGCAATGCCACGCGCCCTCCTGTGATGATGGACGGCCTCCCACTCAAGTCACATATGCCTTGTGCGGGCCGAGCTCCGGTATACATCGACCGTCATCCTATTTCACGGTCTACAATCCTCTTCCGAAGGGCCTGTGCTTCATGGGCGCTCGTCGCTGCAGCGACGGCCTCGCTTGCGCCTGCGGCCCTGGCCCAAGCTCGCGTGGCGTTCGGAGGAGCCCTCGCGCTCTGGAAGGGCTTCCCGCCGTATTTCCTGCGCAGCGGCGGGCACACCGTGTTCATGTTCCTGTTCAAGGATGCCGTCTCCCTAGCCTTCTTGCGCCTTGCGAATCCTGAGGTGGGCGCTGATACCGCCCCTCACGGCTTCCTGGAGGCCGTTGCCGCTTCTCGGAATTGCTCAAGAACAAGTTGGGATGAAAAAACGGCCTTCGGGAAGTTCTTGGGGTCTTTCTGGAATCCCATTCCAGAATCTACGAGTACTTTCCTTCTTCAATCATCGAGGTGTTACGCCTCTGAGCTTGCGGGCCGATGCCGAATCTTTTTAGAAAGCATGTCCTTCTTGCTTTTAGGTTTCTACTTCATCCGAACGATGTTTCAGTGCCGGCAACGCACGGAGATGATCGATCGGTGCGCCCTCTGATGCGGCCCGTGCTGTGGTCTTGTACTTAAGCCCGTACGACTGTGTCCATCGAGGGCGTTCCGCCATACAGGGCCTCGCTTTCGAGGAATCACGAATTTCTCGACGATTCGCGTATCCCCATCAGCGTCCGTAGCCTGGCTCAAGCCTGGCTCAAGCCGTCTCGGCTCGAGCCCGCCCCTGGTCCAGGTTCGCGCCGGGCCCGCCCCGTCGCGATGGCTTCCGGCGACGGCGGCCCCTCTGGCGCCGCCCTGCGGCGGCGGCATCGCCTTGCCGCCGCCGCCCGTGACGGGCCGCCCCCCCCGGGTCTTCCGCCTGCCGCTGCCGCGGCTGCTGCCGCCGCCGCCGCCGCCGCCGCCTCCCCCCTGGAGGCCGGCGCGCGGGAGGCGGCGGCGGAGGCTGGCGGCGGCGGCGGCGGCGGCAGGCCCTGCTCGGCCCTCGCTGGCGCCTGTCCGCGACCGCCCTGGCTGGCGGCGGTTGCCGCCGCCGCTGCCGCTGCCGCTGCCGTTGCCGGCTCCCCGCCGGCGGCGGCGGCAGGGGCGCGGTGGCCGCGCCGCCGCGCTGCCCCCGCGGCCGCCGGCGGGCGCGGCCGCCGCCGCTGCTGCCGCCGCTGCCGGCTCTGGCGCCGCCGCCGCCGGAGGCGCCGCGGGCGCCGTCGGCGCCGCTGGAGCCGGTGGCGCCGCCGGCGCCGCGTGCGCCACTGCCCTGCGCCCGGCGGCGGCGGCCGCGGGCTGCCCCGCGGCGGCGGCCGCCGCAGCAACGAGCCGCCCTTCGGCCGCTGCGGCCGCCCCCCGCCGGCCGCCTGCCCCCCGCCGCCGCGGCCGCCGCCGTGGCTGCGGCCGAGGCCGCTGCCGCCGCGGCAGCCGGCCGCTTGACAGAAGCCGCGGCCGCCGTGGCCCGCGCTGCGGCCTGGGGCCGGCTGCCGCGCACGCCGCTGCCGCGGCCGCCGGCGCCGCGGGCGCAGTGGCGGCCGCCGCAGCCGCCGCCGTGGCCCGCCGGCGGCGGCGGCGGCGGAGGGCGCGACGGCCTGCGCCGCCGCGGCCGCCCCCGCGGCCGCGGGCGGCGCGGCCGCTGGCGCAGCGGCGGGGGCGGCCGCCGCCGCCGCCGCCCTCGGCGCCCCCCCGCGGCAGCAGCTGCAGCCGTGGCAGCAGCAGCAGCTGCTGCTGCAGCAGCAGCAGCAGCCGCAGAGAGAGGCACCCAGCGAACAGACGCAGCAGTAGGGCAGCAGCAGCAGCAACAGCAGCCGCAGCAGCAGCAGCAGCAGCAACATAACCCAGCAGCTGCAGCAGCATCAGCCTCAGCAACAGCAGCAACAGCAGCAGCAGCAGCCGCGGCAGCAGCAGCCGCAGACAAAGCGTGCGCAGCAGCAGCAGCAGCAGCGGCAACATAACCCAACAGCTGCAGCAGCAGCAGCAGCAGCCGCAGGCACCCAACGAACAGGCGCCGCAGCAGGGCAGCAGCCGCAGCAGCTACAGCAACAGCTGCAGCAGCAGCAGCAGCAACATAACCCCGCAGCTGCAGCAACAGCAGCAGCAGCCTCGGCAGCAGCAGCAGCAGCACCCGCAAGCGCAACCGCAGCCTCAGCAGCAGCAGCAGGTGTTGCAGCAGCAGCGACAGCAGCCCCAACAGCAGCAGGCCCACCCTGGGGGCGAGAGACCCGCGAGACCTGAAAGCACATTTTCAGACGGTCAGAAGGAGGCACCCCTGCTCCCTGACGGCCTTCCGGGCACCTCTGGAAGCCAGCAGAAGCCACAATAAGACACAGGGTCCGTCAGGCCTGAATGGGGGCGGAACGGGTCAGAAGGAGGCACCCTTGCCCCCTGATCGGGGGCCTGAAGCGGCGGGGGCCTTTGAAGGGGCGGAAGCGGCACAAGCCGTCACCCGTGCCCCTGAAGCAGAACCGGGTAGACAGGGTTTGGCCCCCGAAAGTGCGGACGACAGCTGCAGCAGTCCGCGAAGCGGGATCCTGCACCAGCAGGGGCTCGCCTGCCACGCCGTGCCGCCCCCGCCTTCTCCACAAAATAGGCAGACCGTCAGCAGTCCTCTGGGGGCGCCGCAGACCCAACAGGGGGGCCACGGACCAGCCGTCGGACATCGAAGCCATCCGCTGGCTCGTCGGGAGAAACCCAGTGTATCCACTCTAGCGGACGGCGAACCTCAGGCGTTCCCTCCGGGCGCCCAGGGCACGCCTGACAAGGAACTTTGCGCTCTGGCAACGGAAACGGCGTCGCCGTGCGCGCGCGCACCTGGCGCGCCCAGCGGTGCCCCCGGGACCGGCGAGAATCTCGCGTCGACCGAAGGGGGCGCGCCCGTGTGCGACGGCGGGCGCAGGCCCGAAGGCGAACGCCAGCGAGATGGGGCCTCTCCCCGCACGCCCCAGGGCAGCGTCCGCCCGGGCTGCTGGAGGCGATCCGGCCCCTGCCTGGCGGCGACCATGCGGCCCGCATCTTCCCACAGGGCCCCGCCGGGCGTGCAGCCGGAACTGTCGCGAACAGACTGCGAGCCCTCTGCCCAGGACAGCGGGGCCGGTTCGCCGGAGGCCTGCGGCCAGAACGCGCGGCAGCGATCATGGCCAGAGCCGCGCCAATGGCCAGGGCCCTCAGACCCCGACACGGGGCAGCAGCTGTACAAAGCAAAGATCGACTCCATCCAGTGGGACCTTCCCGGGGAGGCCCCCGGCGATGCGATGTGAGGCGACTCCAAGTCGCCCGGGGAACAATGTTCACAGGCACCTGGCACGCCTTCGCCAAGCAGCAGGCCGTGCCTGGCAGCAAAGGCGCGCTCGACCCACTTCGGCGCGACCCGCAAACCTGCCTCCGCTTCCCGGAGTCCTTCCGCAGCCACAAGTGCGACGTACGGGCCGTTAGCGACGCGTTGGGCCTTGGCGTCGACTGGGCTCAGCTGCGGCATCGGCGCCCGGGTCGGAGCGGCGGCCAGGGCAGGGATCACCATGCGGCAAGGGTCTAGGCCTCCTAGATGGGGTCGGAGTAGATGGGGTCGGAGGATCGCGCCGCATCGCCGATGCATCGCCGATGCGGCTCGATGTAGGGGCCGATTTGCTTCAGGTCGACGTCGCCAATGCATCGCCGACGTCGACGATGCATCGCCAGTGCATCGCCGATGCATCGCCGATGCATCGCCGATGAATCGCCGATGCATCGCCGATACGGCGCGATCCTTCGACCCCATCTACTCCGACCCCATCTAGGAGGCCTCTGAAGGGGGCACCTGGACGCCCACGCTCCCGAGAAGGGCAAAAAACAGTGGTTGGTCGTCTCCCCGCAATAACCGTTGCGGCCCCGCGTCGTGGCACCGCGCTGGCTGTGAGGGGTCCCGCGGGCTCCTGTCCAGCAGCCATGTCCCTGGGTGCCCGTCCCGTCACCCCCCTCCGTCCTCACTCTGCCCTGTGCGACCCTGGGTCCACGCGGGGGGCAGCTGAGACTACGGGCGCGGCACCTCCTCTCCATAGTTCAGCAGCGGGCAGCGGCTCCTTGGAGGTACCACCACACCCCCCCCACGGGGGCGTCGGCTTCGATGCGGCAGCACCGCCCCCAGCGCGTCAGTCCAATGGCTGCGCGCCCCCTCCCGCGCTTCTGCGGCGGTCAGCGGCGCCCCCGGGTGCGCCGCCGCGCGCCCCCGCGGATGCGTCGGCCTTCGAGGTGGCAGCACCGCCCTCAGTGTGTCAGTCCACTGTCCACTGGCTGCAGATTGCCCTCCCTGAGTCACACCAGCTGTGGGCGAGTGACCGACCGTTCGGTGTCGCCCTCCTCTCAGCGGAGTTCAGCTGCGACCCTGGGCCCTGGATGCGCGCGGGGGGCTGCAGGGGCTACGGGCCCGGGGCTCCCGCGGGGGCTCAAGGTGCCCTGGCATCCCAGTGCTGTCCGCCAAGGGCCGGCACTCGCCCCCCCCCGTGCGCGCTCCGTCTTCACTCAACCCAGGGCGGCTGTCGCTCTGGATCCAGGCGGGGATTGCAGAGGCTTCGAGCGCGTGAGATCCCGCGGGAGCTCAGGGGGCTCCACGCGGGGAGTAGCAGAGACTACAAGCACGAGGCATCCCACGGGGGCTCAGGTTACTTTTGCATCCCGGTACGAAATGAACGAGAGATCATTGCGGCGATCAGCCGCGACCCCCGAGTTGGTCACTCTACAGGCCCACAAACATCAGCGGCGGTTAGCGGCGACCCTGGAGGACCACGCGGCCCTGTATGCACGCGGGGGGCTGCCGAGGCTACGGGCCCTGGGCCTTCTTCGGGGGCTCGAGGTATTCTTGCATCCCGGTGCCGGCGGCCAAGGGCCGTCACTCGCCGCCCCCCCGTGCGCGCTCCGTCTTCACTCCACCCAGGGCGCGCCGCCCCCCGTCCACCCCCCGTTCACGCACGGCGCTGCCGCGCCCCCGGGTCCAGGCGGGGAGCTGCAGAGGCTTCGAGCACGAGGTGCGAGGTGCGAGCTGGACGTTGTGAGCTCCGGCGCTGGGAGCAGCGCGTGCGCCAGGGGTGAGCAATGGCAACTCGCACTGTCGCTGCTCAGTGGGTGTCAGAGATGGAGTTGGAGCGCGGCGTTGTCATCTACGACGCTGGAATCAGTGTGTCAAGAAAACGGGGAATGGCAGCATGCTCCGGCGCTATTGCCGGAATGGGGGGAGCTAAGTTGGAGCCCGCTGTCATCAGTTGCAGCGCCGGGGCAGGCGCGAGAAGGGTGGGCACTGCAGCAGGCCCTGTCGCTGCCCAGCAAAATGCGGCAGGCGGCATTGGGGCCCAACGTGATCAGTGATAGCAGTGGGATCAGGGTGGGGGGCGACGCTGCAGCCCGACGCTGCAGCTACATTCCCGAGATCAGCGCGCGCGGGAAGGCTGGGCAGTGGGTGCAGCTACAACGCTGGGTCAGCACTCAGCGCAGCCCGAGAGGAGGCTGGAAGTGGCATAGCACACTGCTTCTTCACATCGCCTCTCTGTCAATGCGGACTCTTGCGGCGATCAGCTGCGACCCCCGAGGACCAACCTCCCCCGCTGTCTTGTATCACCGCAGATTCACATCAGCGGCGGCTTGCTGCGTCCCTGGAGGACCAGCAACCGGAGACGCCAACCATCAAATAGGCTAGGCAGAGGCCTCGAGCGCGAGGTGCGGGGTGCGAGCTGGACGTTGTGAGCTACAGTGCTGGGGGCAGCGCATGCGCCAGGGGCGAGCAATGGCAACTCGCACTGTCGCCGCTCAGCGGGTGTCTGAGATTGAGTTGGAGCGCAACGTTGTCAGCTACGACGCTGGAATCAGTGTGTCAAGAACACAGGGAATGGCAACGTGCTCCGGCGCCATTGCCAGAATGGGGGAAGCGAAATCGTAACCCACTGTCATCAGTTGCGGCGCTGGGATCAGGTGCGAGAAGGGTAAACGCTGCAGCAGGCCCTGTCGCTGCCCAGCAATATGCGGCCGGCGGCATCGGGGCCCAACGTGTTCAGTGATAGCAGCGGGGTCAGAGTTTGCATGGCGGGCGGACATGGCAGCAGGCGCTGTCCCAACTCGGCGGATGTGGCTCTCGCTGCGCAGCGGCTGGTGGAAAGCGGCGCTGCAGCCTGACGCTGCAGCTACATTCCCGAGTGCAGCGCACGTGGGAAGGTCGGGCAATGCGCGCAGGCCCTGTCGCTCCTCAGCGAATGCGACGGGCAGAGTTTGAGCCGGGCGTCATCAGCTGCAGCGCTGGGCCAGCACTCAGAGCAGCCCGAGGGCGGAGGCTGGAAGTGGCATCGCATTCTGCTTCTACACAGGGGCTGCGGCGAGCCTTTTCTCGCCGCCAGGCAGGCGGGGGGGGCGCGGTGGCCCGCGCCCTGCCCTGGGGCAGGAAGTGGGCCTCCGCCTCCCCCCCGTCCGCCTGGCGGTGGGCGCGGCCTTGCCGGGTCACCTCTCTGTCTATATGGACTCATGCGGCGATCAGCTGCGACCCTCGAGGAGCACCCCCCCCGCTGTCTTGTCCCACTGCAGATTCACATTTGCGGCGGTTTGCCGTGTCCCTGGAGGGCCAACAATCGGAGACGCCAACCATCAAATAGAGATCACAGCGGCGATCAGCTGCGACCCTCGATGAGATGAAATAGAGATCATAGCGGCGATCAGCTGCGACCCCCGAGGAGATGAAAGAGAGAGCATAGCGGCGATCAGCTGCGACCCCCGAGAATAACCATGGCCCCCGACCCACGGATTCGGAGCCAGGCTGAGGGGAGAGGCGTTCTTCCCCTCGCCTCCCCTCTCGGGCCAGGCGAGCGTCCCCCGCCCTTGGCCCCGAGGCCCGCCTGACGCACTGCAGACGTCGGCGTGGTTGCCCCCCGCCCCCAGGGCCGCCCGTGCCCCCCGCTGCCCGCGGTCTGGCTCATCACTCCCAGCGGCGGCTAGCTGCGGCCCTGGAGGACCACGTGGTGCGTGTGTTGGCTTTCCCCGGGTCTTGGGCGGAAGTGCCGAGCGGCGGACTGGGTCTGACTTTGCCCCCTGGCCCTCGTGTCTACCGCAGCGCAGCTCCCTCAGGCGCGTCGCCCTATGACATCGGCTCGCCCCCTCGCACAGGCGCCGCTCGCCTTAGGGCAGCGGGGCGCCTGGCTCGCGCAGACGCCGCGTGCCTCGGGAGGTACAGCCAGGTCTGTTCACTTGGGATGCGCTCGCCCCTGGTTCAGCTTGGCGCCCTCCAGACGGCAGCGCTACCACCAGTGCCGCCCCCCTCTTTTCTTTCTACGCTGGCGATGCTCACCGCGACAGCTGGTCTCCCCCCCCTCCCTCTGAGGCCTGACGCCGTGTCAGCGCGCGCTGCTTGGCCCACAATCGCTTGGTTCCCCCTTGCACTGTGGGGTGGTCTGACGGTTGGTGGTTTCGCCTCGGAGTGGTTCAGCCTTCCGCGGCAGCTACAGCACTCCAGGCTCACCGCCAGCTTCTGGCAGGTTGCGTTGCACCACGTCCCGCGGCAGCTCAGCCCCCCTGGCTAGCTCACGTCGCCCAGGGCGTTTGGCGCCTGGCGCCCCACCGGCGACTCACTCCACCCGCCTCGCACTTGCCCCCACTTAGATTGACGGACTTGGTTGTCCTGGTTAACGTCTCATACTGTGGCAGGCACCGAATGCGTTGGCCAATCGAATTGTGGTCAGTTTGTCCACTGCACGTGCCCGAGCTTGCAGTACGTCAGCCAGTTAAGCGTCACCCAGCCTGCCGCTGCCGTCTGCAGCCGCCGTCTGAGGGGGCCGGCCGGCGCTTCTGCTTAGCAGTTAGCCTCGCCCGTGGCCCGGACGTTGCCTTCGCCGCCTGACCCTTGTCTTGTGGCCGCGACCAAAAAGTATCCCCATCAGCCCATCCAACAGCAGACGCCAATCGAGTTGCCTTGATCAGGGATGTCTAGCAGCCAGCATCCCAGCATTGAACGGCATCCGAGTTCGCGGGTTCTTGGAACGACGAGGAAGAAGGCGACGACGACGAGGACGACGAGGACGACGACGAGGAGTAACCCCCAAGGCCTTCGCAGACCGTTCGCCGTTGGAGCGTCTGGAAGGCCTCGTGGGGCCATTTGGGAGGCCTTGGTCCCCCTGTGGTCTTCTCTTCGGGCCAACTTGGGGCACTCTTGGGACGCTGTTGGGGCCTTTTGGAGGCTGTGGAGGTCCTCGTGGGGCCATCCTGGAAGCCAAGGATCAACAAAAGCAGAGCGGCGTCACTTTGGGACTTCCCCGTCGTCGGGACCCTAAAATGAGCTCATTGGGGCCCCCTTTGAGCGGTGTTGGGGCGGTCGTAGGCGGTCTTGGGGCCGTTTCGGGTACATTGAAAAACAAAAGGGTTTGGCAGGATTTTGGCCTCCGGGGGGCCTCCGTGGGAGGCTCGGAGGACATCTGTAGCCACATTGAAGCGGTCTTGGGGCCTCTTGGAGGCATGGTGGAGGCTATACTGAACCACGTTTGGATATCTTGAGCGATCTTGGAGGCCATCTTGGGCTCCCTTGGGCCATCTTGAAGCCACTTTGGGCCATCTCGGACGCTTCACCCCCTCACGAAACGCCCCCTCCAGACCCAAGAGGAGGGGATCAGGGAAGGGGGTCCCCCTCTCCTCGAAGGGGAATAATGAGGTTAGTAGAACGAATTGATTAGATCACTCACGCACAGAGGACTGGTAGGATTTGCATCAGAACCTGGCAGAAGTAACACGAGGGCGGCACAACCCGCGGAAGCCAAACTTGACCTCAAGATGGAAGCCAATGCAAGCGTGCGCAGGATCTCCATGGTCGTTCATGTAGGAGAGGCCACGTGCTGTACCAGCGTTGGTTGCGGATATGGTTCTGCAGTTTTCTCTGGCTATTTTTTTTTATATGGCGTCTTGTGCTTTTCCGAGAGGAGCAGTACACGAAGATGTACAAGAGCGCGCGAGGGACGTGATTCGGTGGGGCACATGCAGATCTTCGATACTGCCCCCACCGCGTCATGTTTTCCCGAGTGCCAGAGTGTCACATAAGCGACCCCACCAGCATCATGGTCTCCGTATGCGTACTTGCCATACCATGTGTGGCACTGGTGCCACGGCCCCTGTTGCCATACATGCGTTCCAGCTCCAGCTTTGTGCTGAGCACTGACGCCGCCATGTCATTCTAGCAATTTGGAATGTGTTCAAGCACGCCAGATGAGCAGCAGAGGAGCCTATTGGTCAGCGATGCCAAGCTGTGCTATTGGCGTTTTGGGGGTTCACATCAGACTTTCGGTGGCGTTTGGTTTTTGGGGGATCGGGTAGTTTTGCCCGTCTTTGCGCATGTGGATAGGGGTCGGAGGATCAGGAGGTGGATGTGGAGGGGTGTGGGAGGGGGACAGGGGTGCCTCAGTCTGCCCGTTCATTGGAAGGTGGGGAGGTGAATGAGGGTCAGGAGGCAGTAGCTGTAGCAGTAGCAGTAGCAGTAGCAGTAGCAGTAGCAGTAGCAGTAGCAGTAGCAGTAGCAGTAGCAGCAGCAGCAGCAGCAGCAGTAACAGTAGCCGTAGTAGTCGTACAAGCAGTAGGAGTGGTAGTAGCAGGCGAAGGAGGGGAGGAGGAGGAGGAGGAGGAGGAGGAGGAGGAGGAATGCTGCGCCATTGTGGGTTGACCGGTTTGAGCGTGGAGACATACTGGGTATCCATGCTACGTCCAAGGGGACACGCACCTGGGAGTCGAGTAAGGTACGACTCCCTGACCCGTGGTCTAACTTCTTCCTGGCTGCAGGCTGTGCTGTTGGGGCCCCGGGGGCTTGGTCTGGGCTGGTATTCCTCCTCCTGATTCTTCTCGCTCTCCTCCCCGTCCTCTCGCTGCCGTCGCCCCTTCGTCCGACGGCTGTGCGAGTAGAAACGTGCAGCGGAACCCGACGCGGATGCTGCCAGCTACTCTAGGCGCGGCCAGACAAAAGAGGTTGCCTCTCTCTGAACATGGTCGATGCCGCCGGTATCTCCTCTGAGGAAACAACGGGTTCCCAGACCCCTGGTGACTAAACTACCCTGCGACGTGTCCATCCCCCCAGCGAACCCCAGGCAGGACAGCGAGGCATGAGGCATACATAAAAGCAGGCGCATGCAGGCAGGCGAGAGGAGAGAGGGGGGGGGGCGGGAGGAGTTCTTGGAGACCCATTGCTCGATTCAGAACAAGAGCCCAATCAAGGAAGGATTTTGGGAAAAACAACAGTGGAGGTTGGTCACCATTGTCGGCGTCTGGAGGAATCGCAAACCTCAGAACTGGTTCTGGGGGTGGAGAGCTCGTCCCGAGGAGGGGGTCGAGCGTTCCAGGGTCCGCGTGTTGAGATAATCACCAGGGGATGCACGGGCTCGTTACGTGTAGTGCCAGTCTTAAGTCGGGCATGTCCCTCTACAGGAGGACCATTCAAGAATAGAACAACTAGTCTGGTGACAAATTCGTGCTCTTGTTACCATGCATCACGTCAGGTTTGACTATTTTGTTCTTCAAAAGCCGCCTGTAGGAGGACATGCCCGACCTAAGGCAAGTCCTGCTCGGCAGCATTGGCCATGTTCATGGTGTGTGCATTGTCGGGTTTAGTGCCTTCCGTAGCGTTCGTGAGGTTCGAGGGAGGTGCGAGCAAGGCATGTGGAATGAGTAAGCCGCGTTTGAGCGAGGAGGACTCAGAGTGACAAATGGCCAAGCATGCTGCTTTTCGTAATTTCATTGCGTGACACACTTATTGTACACCTACGTCGAATTAGCAGGGTCCCTGGCCGATGCGACCCAGAGAGCCGAGAACACTACCCTGAGAGGGTTGCCCACCATCGTTGGAACTCGGTGTAGCCCCGTTTGTCTGACCTGGCGTGCAACCTAGCCTTCGTCGTAACCTGGTGTAGCCGTGCATGTGTGGTCCAGTGGCGAGCCTGGCCTGCGTTACAACTTGGTATAGCCGTGCATATCTGGCCTGGAGAACGGCACGGCCTTCGTTTGCCTATTGCTGCATCCTTGATGCAGCCGTGAGGTAAGGGCCGCTGTTGCTCAGACGGCGATTCGCTTGTCGATGTATCTTGGGGTAGCCTCCTCCCCTCCGCTTCCCGTCCACTCCCCCTCCGCTTCCCTCCGCCTAGTGCCTCCCGCCCTGAACCTCCGTCCCCCTCCCGCTTCTAATCTTACCCGTGTGCACTGCCTTTCTCCCTTCGCCACAGTTCCCTTCTTCTCAGTCTATCATCACTCCGCGTCCCCATCCCCACCCCTCCACCACCTCTCCATCCCCTCTCCTCCTTTCCCCTCCTCTGCTTGTCCCTCCCTCCCTCCTCCCGTGCCGCCCTCCTATTCATTTCCTCCTTTCCCCCTCTCCCCCGTCGTCGGCGGTGTTGATGGACGAGAGGGAGAAGCAGGGGAACTGTTCGTGAATATTTTTCACGTTTCTCGTTATTGTCATTGCAATGGCCTCTATCACGTTGAATTTCGCGCTTGCAGTCTTTTCTCGGGACAGGCATCCTTCAGCATGCCGTTCACCGTACATCTCCGACGTCCCCAAAAGGGCCCCCCTCCGAGATTCCTGACTACGGCGCACCGAAGCCATCCCGCAGATCGCCCACGAGACATGCAGGGGGACAGTCAAAACCAATTGCCCTAGCCAGCCCAACCAGTCAGCCCAACCCAACCATCCAAATCGGCCACTTCGCCAACCAGCCCAACACCGCCACCCACGCCAACCCGCATACCCCGCCGCCTGCCCTCCGTCACCTCCGAGGGGGGGGGGGAGAGCTTCTCACTGACGAGCAGAAAGAGAAATCGCCCTGCCAGGGGCCGGCGGGATAGCGGGAGGAGGTATATTGCAGTGGGGGCGGGCTTAGCTATGGGACGTCATCGGCAGACTATATGCATGCACCGTACCATGGCAGCATCCCTGGGGCATTTTTTGTAGATGCCGATTCGCGCAAGATCATTGAGGAGGATTTGGGAATGACTTGCGCCTGCATCCGAATCATTGAGATTCCTCGCGGGCCCCAGTGTTCCTGCGGCGGAGGTGTCAGAAGGATTTTTCTGATAGGCCCCGCCGCATGCGGAGCCCCGCTGGGTACGGTGCATACTTTTAGTGTTCTTTGCAGGGCGAAAACTATGCACCGTACCGCGCCTGGATTTCATCGACGGCCTCAGAGTCTGTTGTCGAGTTCTCTCGTCGACCCATTTGGGTCGGCAGGCTGGCGCGCGCGTCTTCGCTGGGCTCCCAAGGGGGCGCGCCAACGCAATCGGCACTCGACGACGCCAGGTAGCCTGTTGAAATTTCGATGCTCGGTACGGTGATCAATGATCGTCCGCGTGACGTCAAAGACGGCCTGAACCCTCGAGTGCGACACCGCCGTCACGCTTCTATTTTCACCCAGCCCGCCCTCTCAACGAACAGGTTCCCATGCTGAAGATTGTCGCCCTACTTTAGGCGGCCCTGCGGCGCTCGGCGCGAGGGCGGCGGGCCACCCGGGAGCGATGGTCTGCGCCAGCGCCTTGCCACGCCGGCCCCGCGCGAGGGCAGCAGCAGGCCGCCCTGGCCGCGGCCTCGCCCTGGACGGTCGTTGGGCCTCTGCGCGCTGCTGGAGGGCGGGAGCTCGGAGTCCTGGAGCTCGTTCGGCCCGCTGGATCCAATTCGATGTATATATATGTATATATGTATATACATATGTGTATATATATATATATATATATTTATTTATACACATGTATGTTGTAGTGGCCTCCGGCCAGTGCCGCCGATCCGGGGCGCTCTGGATGATGATGATGATGATGATGATGATGATGAGGATGATGATGATGATGCTGATGATGATGATGTTGATGTTGATGATGCTGATGCTCATGCTCATGCTCATGCTCATGCTCATGCTGATGCTGATGCTGATGCTGATGCTGATGATGATGATGATGATGATGATGATGATGATGATGAGGATGAGGATGAGGATGAGGATGAGGATGAGGATGATGATGATGATGATGATGATGATGGTGGTGATGATGATGATGATGATGATGATGATGATGATGATGATGATGATGATGATGGTGATGTGACGATGGTGATGATCCTGGCCCCCCACCCCACCCCCTCTTATCTCTCCTGTCCCCCCTCCCCCTTTCTTCTGACCCCCACCCCTCTCTCCTTCCCCCCCCCCTCCCCCACCCTCTCTCCTGTCCCCATCCCCCCCCTCTCTCCTGTCCCCCCCCCCTCTCCCTCTCCCCTCTCTCCTGTTCCCCCTTTCCCCTCTCTCCTTTCCCCTCCCATCCTCTGTCCTGCACAATTTCTCAATATGAATACTACTCTCCTCCTTCCCCTGATGACGGGTTGGGAGTGTTCGCCCCTCCCCCGCGTATTGTTTTTTACACAGGATGTCCCGGAGTTGGGTTTTCGCTTGCATTTATTTTTCAAAATGCTGCTCTGGCTGAGGCGCTGGCCTCATTTTCGGTCCCCGCTCGTTCCGAATCGTGCTCCCGCGGCAGCGCTGGCCTCATTTCCGTGCTTCCGCTCGTTCCGAATCGTGCTCCCGCTGCAGCGCTGGCCTCATTTCCGCGGTTCCGCTCATTCCGAATCGTTTTCCCGCTGCAGCGCTGGCGTCATTTCCCGTGCCATGCCACGGCATGCAATGCAATGCTAGGTTGCGTTCTGCTGCGCGATGCCATGCCTTCAGCTGAAGCTGTGATATGCAGTGCTTAAGTGCCACGTCGTGCTATGCCATGCTACGCTTTGATCTTCAACGCCATGCTATGCAATGTTATGTTCGGGGCCGCTGTGCGATGCCATGCTTTGCGTTGCAAAGCTTTGTGAGGCAATTCTTCACTACGCCACGCCACGCCATGCTGTGACATACTACGATTTGCGGTGTTTTTCAACGCCATGCCACGCTGTGCTCTACAATGCATCGCGTACCCTTTCGGGATTACTGCCCTGCTCGACATCCGACTGTGCGAG